ATTTCATCAAAATAAAATAAATGAACTCGAGCTTAATAAGGATAATTCATGTGTCATGCGCTGTTCAATCATGTGCTTTAGTGTTAGTGATCGTATTAAAATAAAATATATGAACAAGATCTTGGTCAGAATGATTCGCCTGGCATGCGCTGTTCAATGATGTGTTCTGATGTTAGTGGTTGCATTGAAATAAAATAAATGAACTCGAAGTTAATTAGGATGATTCATCTGATATATGCTGTTGACTACTATGTTCTACAGTCATTGGTTACTTCAAAGGAAAATAATTGAATACGAACTTGATTAGCATATTTCATATGTCATGCGCTATTCAATCTTATTTTGTAATGTCGTCAATCGCTGGCGAGTAAAATAATTGAACACTGTCTTCGTAAGGATAATTTGTATGTTATGTACTGTTCAGTCATGTGTTCGGATGTAAGCGATTACATCGAAATAAGATAAATGAACTCGATTTTTCTTAGGAGGATTCATTTTTAGTGTGATTCTTTAACACGATGCTTGTAGTTCTTATTTTGGTTTAGACATGCGCCAAAACGAATAGATCTATTGTAATGTTATGCTTTTTTTGCGTATACCTTCATTGTGGGACATATCATTATATTTTTGCTGCTATGGAAACCATATATATTAGTAGAAAGATATCAGTTGAAATGATTCCTTTGTAAACTGATATTCAATGATATAACTCAGCGATACGTTTTTTTTTTGAAGTGTTCTTTATTTTGGAACAAAGCTATGCTTAGTATGGTTCATCGGCTTTGTGATCTAGCACTATTTGACGAACTTTCACATTGTATTCTTGATGAGTTACATAAGTGAAGAGAAAGTCCTGGTTAAAACTAATCATTTGTGACGTATTTCATTATTTGAGAATTGATAATGCAATAGGCTTTAGTCCGAGAAAGTTTTTCGAATAGATATTTTTTCAAAAATGTTCACATTGTAAATGAGCTGTTGTTTTCAAATAACACAAAACGACTGCTTGCTAGTGATGAGTATAGTTAAATGGAGTTATCGTTAGGATTGTTCATCTTTGTGATGATTTTTTTCTTCAAGATAATGACAAAAGTTTTGCCTTACCGTTAATAGTATACATGAGAGGGTTAATTGTTGCTGATGTTCGTTTACCATGTAATTGGTAATTAGATCACAAAGTTTTGTTTTGATTCAAAGTGTTGATTATAGATTGAACCGGATGCTTGTCAAGAACATTCAGTTCCTAGGTAATGGTTGACCATACAGTGCTTGCGATGGCTTACTTGAAAGTAAATATGAAATTCGAATAGAAGTGTTGCTGTAGTTATTCAAACGATATGAGATCAGTGGTATGTTGTTGTGTTAAAGATTGATCATTGAGTTTACAAAGAACGCGAACACATTTTAAGTAAACAATATATTGTCAAAGACTTTACAAGACATTGGTTAAGTGACTTCGAAAATAATATACTCTCGTTTGATTTTTTTTCACATATTCTCGCCGAACTTAATTTCTTGAAAAACTTCTGATGTTGTATGAATGCAATCTAATCTTGAAAGGAGTTGGTGTCATCTTGAATGCCGAAAAGATTTTTTTCAGCATTTAATAATCTTATCTAACACAAACTCTCATCGAGATTAAATTGCCTGCATATAACGTGAAACTTTTACATGACGAAGTTTTAGTCTAGAACAAGAAATATACATACGATTATTAATCAAAGGTGAAGGTTTTATTAATAGTTAGTCTCCTTAATTCTTAATTACTTCATTCAGCTTATTCTCGCTCTATTTTACTGCAGTGAATAATATACTTTTGGCCTTTTAAATCTATTTTTTTTTTTACATTTATTCATCATTTATACGCGCTTTAATATTCTTAATAAACACTTTATATGAAAATATAGCAAAGAGATGTAAACTTATCAAGACAATTGTTTTCCAAGCTAATAAAGAAGTAGAAAAAAGAAAGAATAGTCAAATGTCTTTTGATGTAGTGTCAGACAGTGAACAACAAATATCAGAAACAAACAAACAAAAAAATAAAATGAATTATGTTAGTGTTCTTTTGGTGTTTGGTCTATCAGATCATATCTTGCTATTCCTTCAAGGTTTTCATCAAATCATCATCCTCCAAACTAAATAGGTTTAGATTGTGATCGCCATGACATCTACAAAAAAGTCAACATTTGCTTTTATTGCACTTCTTCAATACTTTGAAGCGGTTCTTCTAACACGATCGATTATTCCTTGTGGTTTAAACTTCTTTTTGCAGTTGGGACATTCATACATATTAAGAGAGTCTATTACCAACACTTCAGTCACCTTTCGCTAAAATTTTCTATATGACATGGCTACTTCTTCTGATCTTCTTTTATCTGCACTATCTTTGCACTCTTGTATAGTTGATTCAATGTTTGAAGAAATAGTATTAATTTTAATATGTTTGATAATTATTTAACACCAACTGTTTCTATATTTAGTGGTTTTTCTTCAATTTTTGATGTCGAATTTGTCGATGTCATCCATGACCTTGTTTTTCCCGCTTTTTCTTATTCCAATATTTGGAGGATATTTCTAGGTTACCGAAAGTTCGCCAATAAGACTTTCGCCAATTGGCAAAATTCCAGGGAATGTATTGACGAAAGTGTAGTGGACTTTCGCCAATTGACGAAAGTACAGTAAATTTTCCCCAACTGTCACGAAATAATATTAATACAGGGTACACGTAAGAGTTGAAGCTACAGTCTGTCGAATTCAAGAATTTTTGGACCCGAACCCGATTGATGGATCTTTTAAGAGAAAAATTGAAAGAAATTCCAAAAAGATTATTATATACATGAGATATTTCTTTGGATCTCGATCCGATCAGTAAAATTTTCCGAACCCGGACATGAACTCAGTGATTACAAAACTATCAGACCCGCAACCGGTTGAGTTCGGGTCCCAGTAGATCCAACGGGCTCTAGCTGCAGTTAATGTTGTTAGAATGTTTATCATAGCTTACACTCATCAATCTAGCCGACAGAAATTTTCGAATCTATATCTAGTTCGCAGTCAAATTGACGAAAGCCCATTGTACTTCCACCAATTGACGAAATTCCAAAGGGTATATCGGCGAAAGTACAGTGGACCTTCGCCATTGACGAGAGTCCTATTTAGCGAAAGTCTTATTGGCGAAGTTCCAGAATCCCATGTTTTTTCCGAGGAAAATATGAAAAAATTATTTTTTTAATCAAATATGGTCCATGTTCATTTTTCATACGGTTTGCGTGCCTAAACCATCTTAATCGGTTACGTCACATGAGATTGTTTATGGAGAGTTGACCAGATAGCTTCAGTATTGTCTGGTCTGGTAAATGATCTCCTAAATTCAAATCAAGTATCGTTCTAAAGCATTTCATATAGAATGTAGGATTCGTAGTTTGGCTTCTATTGATATTGTTTTTCGATAGAAAATGATATTTCTTAACATTTTGAACACTGTTGTTGACTTCGCTAATTCTGATTCTGTTTCTTTATCTGTTCCTTGGTAACGAAAGATTCAACAACTAAGATATGTAAATGAGTCTACTTTTTCAAATTTTTGATTTCTGATCATAATATCAGTGTCAGAGAACTCAATTTCTTGGTTCCTCATGGTTTTTCTATTATCATCTTTTTTGAACTGTTGTGTTGGTACAATACAAGTCTTCTTAGCATTCATAGTTAACCCATGTTCCTGAGTGACTTTTGCGAAGATCTTAAGGGGGGGCCCCCCCTCAGAAAATCCAATTTTTCGGAGATGAGTCGAAATTGAAGTTTTATCATAGGAAGATGCACT